TGGCCATACGTAGTCTCAAATTTCCGACAGTGCGTTCAGTTAAGTAACCTCGATCATTTTGAGAGTTTATGAACGGCTCAATGGGGATATTTTTTTTATCAGAGAACACAATCCGTCACGTTCGTGCAAATGTAACAACTCCTTTGCTCTTTCGAATCTAACTTTTTCTTGCTTTTGTGTAAGATCTTGTGCCTTTTGGAACTTGTAAGGCTTTATATTGAGCTCAATTTGGAATATGCGTTGGATGTTTCACTTCTGCGTTGGATATTTTCAATTCTTTGACCATGTGATTACCATTACAACGTTGATTTCATTCAAATCGAAGTTCACTCGCCGAACCATTTCAGGTGATGTCGCTGGTACTATTATAACGATTTATGGTACGATACACGAACATTTTATACACTTTGAGGTGTAGTAGCTTGTAAACAATATAAACAGCTGTCATTCATATGAATATCGCGTAGTTGGCAATATCAGTTTGACAGATATATCTGTGTGTAATTGGTAACACTTCAATCGCCTAGTTCTGTATATATAATGAACGAATACTTTATTTGAAGTCAGAGTCTTCTTAAAACAGAGTACTTTGATAAATCAATTTTATATACTGAATATTCTTCAAAGATGTGGAATAGTATAAACATACAGGCCGAGTAGTAAATGATATTCAAGGACTTTTTAATTGAGTCAAATATTCGAAAACACAAAAACAATATAGCTTATTAATCTATTGTTTATTCAACAACAATTTATTATCGAATGAAATGTGAATAGCATGCAAACAGATTGCTTTCGAATAGAGTGAATACTTGAATATAAAATCAAATTTAATATCTGCAATTATAAGGTTCTCTCTAGTACGCCTTGAAAGAATGAGTTTCATATAGAGAGACTACTTAGTAATTTGGTAACTTGATAGTAACATGCCATGAATAAAATAAGCAATAACGAGTTAGGGAAAAAACATAATTAAATGTCGAAAAATTTTAATATCAAGTAAGTAAAGGTCAAGGTGGTTTTCAGAATGCTTAGTTCGATTTTTACTGCATATTTTAATCAAAGACCTAAACTGATAATATAAAGAAAATTCCATAAGCACCATAAGCGGTAGTAACTATCCGCTGTTCATTAACCAGACCACTTAACAACGCAAGTCTCGAAGGTTAACGTCTATTTGGGTAACAACTATCCATTTGAATTTTTCTAGCCCATTTGTATTAGCAATTTTACGCATAAACCGCAAGGCTTGGTCTCTATAAAACAAATTTCATGTTTAAAAGCCATAAAATATTTAAAGGCTTCGTTTCAAGCAAAAATAAAAATTTATAAAAACAAAAATGCGAAAAGGCCACCGCATAACGCATGAAATGGAATAAACCAAATAAAAATAATATATGATATATGGTACATGGTATATGCGATTTATATAGCTTTTGTATACACATAACGATGCATAAATGCTCTCATTTCGTTAAGACAACAGCACATAAATTTAACATATTTATAAATGATTGGACCTCATAGCAGCCAAAAATTGATGTTTGGACAAATTCCAAATGCTTAGACTATAAGCGTCAATAAATTTGTAGAACTTTTTAATCTTCTGTTAAACAAATAGAAAAAATTTCAAAATTTGAATTTATTTATTTGAAAAAGAAAAAAAATCATGTAATGCAGTTATAAACAAAAATATATTAACTCACAATAAACAAATTCGGCAAATGTTCGTTCTGTCTGCCGCGTACAAAATTTTGGAGTCCGGAAATTTCAAATGAGAACGTCGAGCCTCAGCTTATAAAACTTCAGGCAATCGAAATAAATTTTTCAGAAAGAAAGACGTGTGTATGACAAAAGCAAGTAAGTTTCTTTTACGCAGTACACTCTTTTACTTTATAAATGCTTATTACAATATCCTTAATGCAAAATAAAGGATATCCAGAGATAGTTATGAACACAGATTCACTACTTTGAAAACTTTATATGAAACTCCAATTATACGGAAAAATAGATTTTTTTTATAAGAAAATCAATGAATACTATGATTATTTAAAAAATTATTCACATATATATATATGAAATAATATATCATATATATAATCAGAAAGTCACCTCACTACTAATGAAATTAAGGTACTTCAAATGATAATAGCCCAAATCGTCTAATGACGAATTTTGAATAAATCACAGAACAGATTATTCGAAAGCAGAAGTACCATAAAAGGTGATAAAATTCCCTGGTATTTGCTATATATATATTTGAAAAAATATCTAAAATTTGAAAAACGGTAAAAGAAAAACTCTCTGCACTACCACTACCGTGGCATGATTCCAATTTTCCGGGTATATAGATTTGGCAACGGTTTTTTATAAAGTCTGTTATTTTAAACCCGTTATAGTTTATAGTTATTTGTTTAAAATTTGACTTTAAATTTATGTGTGTCGCAAGCACTACAAACCAGAGAAACTTTACTTTAAATTTGATCACAAAACAACGAATCCCAAATATTCGATTTCGATATATACACATATACAGAAAGTTTTTAAATGATAGTATTTAAGGATTTTCTAATGTCAGATGATATTTGGGATAGAGTTTGGGGTTTAGTATTCTTCTTTTAAGGCAAATCAAAATTGGACAGTCACAAAAAATAAGGCAAGAAGTCTCATTCCTTCACAAGCAGAAATGACATTCTGTCATATCAAATAAACAAATGTAGTCTACTTTAGTTAATAACGCAGGTAGTTGTTTTAGTTGTTGTTGTAACCTCCAAGGATCTCCATGTGCATTTCATTTTGTATGTGGTAAACGGCACTTCGTCCTCACACTCGACGAGTGGCTTCGGAACATAGACGCGGTTCTTCTTGGAACCATAACGCAAGCTAAAATGTTTCACTAGATACCCAACCAGCTACCTAAGCTCTGACCTGAGCGTGCTTCTTTATAGTTGTGGGTAGAAAACAATTATTAAAATATCCCACTAGGTACCTTACCAGCTACCTAAGCTCTGACCTGAGGGTGTTTCTTTATAGTTGTGGGTAGAAAACAATTATTAAAATATACCATTAGGTACCTTGCCAATAATCTAAGCTGTTATCTGAGGGACATTTCTTTATAATCGTGAATAGGAAATAGTTCTTTAGTCTGATGATTATCTGGAGTAATGTACAAGTAGCGATGTCTGTTTATTTATAAATAACGTAGGTCATACTTAACTATATACCAAAAAAAGACGTTTAGTCTAAAAAATATTTCAAATTTAAAATAAAAAAGTTATTCCTATAGAGCCCAGAGTGCTAACCATAAGCTTAGGGCCAGTGATGTTATAGCTTTTCTTTAGTTTATTTATAATTTTATATTACATTTAAATTTATTATAAATAAATAATTATTAGATATTTTTGGAATATTTATTTTTATTTTTTAGGTAATAATTTTATATTAAATTGATGTTTAACAATAAACTATTGTTTTCAATAGAGAAGTTTTTATCGAATAGTAGCAAAAACACAACAACAAAAATTTTTGTATTTTTTTTAATAATTTTATAATTTTAATGTACGTAATTTTATATTATATTTAAACTTATAATATTATAAATAAATAAATATAAATAGGTATAAAGTCTATCTACTCTCATCTCTTTCCTCTGATTACTGGAATGAAGTTTCCTCAAAGCTGTGGAAATCTGCTCCATTCATTCCTAAGAGGTGGTTTTAGTGAGTTCAAGTCTTACACACATTTATGAAATATTTACTAAATTATATGCCATATGCCATATTTTTTAGGTAATAATTTTATAATATTTCTGATATATGACATGAATTGACTAATATAATTTTTAGGCTTATTTGCTTATGCGGCAATAACTGGATAGAGACAGAGACCATGACGTCAAGTGAGAACGCATTTTCAGTAAATTTCCCCGCATAGCGTAGTTATTGTTTTGGCGCAGTGAAGGGAAGGGAAGGGAAATTACACTCTATTTCACAATAGTCGATCATTTAAATGCAATAAAAATTTTGTGTTTAGTTGAAGAAAGTAAATTTTCTTAAACGAATTGAGGTCACAAACCACGTAAATGGGCTTACGTCTTTTGTACATAAAAGTACATTAGTAAACGGTTAATCGATAACATGTCCCTAGAAGCATATGGTCAGGTCAGGCCATGTCGACTATCATTTCAACCTCCAGCCATACGACCTCTGCATACGACGAAATGTGTGAATTGAATTTTCTTTGGAAGGAATTTTTTTATATTTATATTGTCCAAATACTGTACGCATCTGCAAGAGTAATTATATATTTGCATTTAAAATTAATTGCTTGGTATAAACTGATATAAATACGAATGCGAATACGAATTAGTAACAACTTTCATAGGCACTGCAATTCTGCTTACGCAAATATGTAATTGGAACAACGTATTTTGAAGGTGACTGATTTGGGTCAATATTGCTTTTCTTTGTCAGAATTCATTATCGCTTATACGTTTATACGTTTGTTTCCACGATTCGCAAATGTTTACAGAAATTCACAAAGATTTTCCAATTACCGAATTAAATAGCACATATGCACTTCCTCGTCATATTGCACCAATTTCTATTGTGCTCCGATGTGATTTTTTGTGGCTAAAGACGTGGCTTGCAATTTCGAGCTGCAGTAGCGGCGTTCGCGAATACTTTTTATTTAAAAATATTTTTAATTATTTTTTAATATGAAACGCCGTTTCTATTTGGTCACGTACAGATTCACCGTAAGTCTGATAACTGACTGAGAATCCGAGAATCCTCTTGTTGTGTTGAACGACTCCATCTGCGAGCAAACGACGTACGTTTGGCGCACCTTACGGCATTTTGCAGCAACCACAATTGAAAATCGATAATTAGCGAAACGCACACACACGCACAAGCACACATGTACACACAATCAAACTTAAGCCGTATGTACAGCAATCTGCTCGAATTTTATGTATCAATTATTTTCAAACTATAACTTACCCATTATCGTATGCTTAGCGCTATAAAACCAAAAATAAAAATTTCTTTAAATTCGATACAAATTTTTCTTTCTATTTTTCCAAGTAATTTTTCCGTAAATTTTCGTGACCAACAACAACAAGTTTATTTCGAACTCTGCGTAAACGTCAGGCAACATACGTACTCTTTTATCTACGCTATAGGGTGTGTAGGCATTTCATGAATTTTTGACAGCTGTTGTGGAACGTACGATTTTGGATTGTATTATACCAAAATTATATGTTGCATTGTTTTTTCGGCGTTTTCAATTCAAACAACACAAAATATTAAATAATTTTGACACTATCGCCATAAAATGCTCACAGCCTTAGATAAATGCATAATAGAAAAGTTTCAAACAGTACTGAACTACAACAACAAAATTTTGATCTATTAAATTATATAAAAATTATTAAATTTTTGGGTGACCATACGGCTGTTTCGAGTCTTGCCAAATACCGAACATTAGTGGTTTTGGAAGTATTTCTTGTTTGTAATTATTGATTTATTTAAATAATTAATATATAAATCACATAAATAATTGTGTACAATTGAAATTGTTTAATCATTCTGTAATAATAGAATATAATAAACCAATAATATGATATAATAAGAACATGATATATACCATATTATAGACATAAACAGCTCCGCATAGACCTAGCTTAACACACATACATACACTAGTTACACTAGATAGTAAGTTTGAGCGTTTCTATTGAAAAAAACAGTAGGTAGCTTGCTTCAAGTGACGATGAAGAGAAAACGGTGTATGAAAGAAGGAAAATTCAGTAGCAAAATATGTTCATAAAGCAAAAAAGATTTGAAAAATAAAAAATAAACTTAAAATATGTTAGAAATACGATTGAGAATCTCAATTCCAGAAAGCGTATTTTTCCAAACTATGTACATATATGTATTTATGTATATTTATTTAAACTTATGTATATACATATATGTATATGTATTTACGTATATATATACACAGTCATATTCAGAATTTTCCCAATTTATAGTGGTTGATTTTTATGAAAATAGACTTATAGTATGTTTCCACTGGCTTCGTTAGACCAGTTAACTTACTTAAGATTGCTTGAACTGGTCTAACGAAGCCAGCGGAAAAATGCCCATTCAAATTGTATATATTATATGTTGTAAGTTATATATATATATGTATACTTATATGTATATATAGCAATATATATAAATATATATATACAAAAAATATATATATATAAACTATTGGTAAACAACGCCTCATGACACGAACTAACCAACAGCTAATTTTTGAAGAAATAAAAATAGAGGAAATACGGATGGCTATTTGAGCCAGTGCACTTGAGCACTTTTACTATTTCTTAACTCGAGGTATTTTTAAAACCCTCTTTACGCCTTGACTGGATTATTGTTTATCACTTCATCAGTCTAAGCAATAATTCAAATCTCAGATCTGCATACCTCGATCGATGTAGATGAAAGAGATATATATATTCATTTGTATATAAATACTTACTTGAAAACAATGATGGAACCAACTTATAATCTGTTGTAATTACATTCAACCACCAGTTCGAACGGTGAAACGAGAATGGTGATAGCAAGCAAAACTTGGTTGTTATGAACGGAAGATTGATTGGATCGCATATAGTTGAAATACTGATGAAACCAGCATAAAATCTGGCAGTCAACATGATCGCCTACTTTTTTTTTAATAATACGAGTATCAATTGTTCTCCCAACATTATCTCCCAAAGTTAGTTTTAAGCACATAAACATTTAGTTTTTTTCTTCAGTTTCATTCAAGCGAATATATTCAATAGATTAGTCGTATGCACGCAATATAATATAATCTGCTTAAATAATTATTACTAGTTGTTTTATATTTTGTCTAGATTCATCTGAATGATACATAACCGTATAAATACTTCATTAAAAATAGTAAATACTTTAAATAATTTTAATCTTCTCCAGCTGGAATAGCATCCTCCAAGCGCCTAATAAACTTAACTCGTAGCTCTGTAACATTATCACCCTTTAACTGATCCTATAATTTTAAAATAAATTTAAAATTCACCAGATGTGGTTTAAACTATTTAAAAATATACGATTATACCTGAGCGAACCAACACTGCACTTCAAGTTGCACCATTTCGAGTGCACCACGTATGCAGCCACTAAAAATTGAACTATAACGCAAATTTGTCAAATCTTGTGGAAGTTCAACGAATTCCGTTAAAGGGTTTGAATCGAATATCAATGAGAATTCATCTAGCGCAGGTGACCAATTAGAAATTGATGGTTGCACATTTAGATAAATACGGAATGCTTGCTGTATGCGATCTGCAGTCTCGCGCATCTCCAAGCAACGTGGAGCTTGTGTGCGTGCTAGAAAATCTTCTATGAGACGCATACCCATATTGTAGCCAATACGTTCGAGTTGTTTATTAACATCCTCGACATTCTCGAAGTCACGCAACATTTGTGTCACCAAAGCGCCATAGGTGAGAGTTAAAAACTCCGCGTTCTACAAAAGACAAAACAAATATGCGATTTAGTAATGTTTATTTGTCTCAATGGTATAAATAGTATATAAAATGACTATAAGAGTAATTTTGTATAATTATATAATTGAATTTTATATTTTAAAAACTGCGTCAAGTGTTTTCTATTTTATTTACAACTAAACTTAATTGCTAAACTTAAATTTTAAAATATTTTACAAATATAAATAATTCACTGAGTTATTTTATGGGCGTTATCGTTATGTTTGGCGTCTGATGTGGGGCTATTAGTTTTGGCTGTGTCCGTACTGTAGAACGCATAGTTTGTTGCATTTGTTGCCCACTACTACTGCCACCAATAGAATGCAGCTGATCGCCTTTTTCTGGAGCTGAATGAAAACGGCCACCTTCGCCTCGTACACGGTTCATAGCATGCCTATGACGTGATTCATGCAAATATTTGGAGCGTTCTTTAGGAATACGAGACTCAAGTTTGGCACGTGCTTGTCGTCGTATAAGTATACGTTTGTACTGTTTCGCATTAACGTAAAGTGGTTCTTCCTCTGCTTCCGGTTTCACTTCATCCTCGTTCACAGCTTGAGATGTAGTAGGTGAAGAATCTGTTGCGTTTGTCGCATTCGAATTATTAATTGTGGCAGTCGCATTTTGCGTTTGGGCGGTAATTGCACTTGCAGCTGTTACAGGCGCACTCACTCCCGTTGTAGTTACACCCGTCTGAGGCATCATAATTATTTGTTGTCCCACTGCCGCTGTAGGAGTAGATTGCGGTGTAGCGGTGGCTATTTGCATAAGTTGCCCATTTATGTTTATATATTGCGGCTGAGCCTGCTGCGCTGCCGCCGCAACAGCAGCTGTGTGATCCAATGATACTGTGGGCTGATAATACAATGTCTGCCCATCAGGCAATTGCATTAATTGCATCGGCTGCGTGTTCTGTTGTGGTTGTTGCATTATTATTTGATTCGGTTGCAATTGTATAAGCTGCGGCTGCACGCCCGCCGCTTGCGCTTGCTGTTGTCCTATTATAACTGCAGGCATTGGTATCACTTGAATTTGATTGCCCGCCTGACCGCCACCACTAGAAATAATTGTATTATTATTGTTTGCACTTATGTTTTCTTGTTGTTGAGGTGTTGCAGTATTGGCAGAATGGTTTTCCATTATAAATTAGTAAATGCTCGGCCGTGCTTGGTGCAGTACGCCTATACTGTTTTGCTATTACTGCTGGAAAATCGAAGGAAGCCGTTTTAAGCTGTGGTTGTTCTACTTATAAATTAAATTAACTCTAAAACGCACACAATAATATTACTTACCACTTTTTTTGCGTCAAAACGAGATGTTTGCCGGGACATAATTTATCCACTTTATATGAAATAACTAATTCTATATTTGATACAAATAATTCGTGGTTTTGTTGCGTTTTCCACTAATGTCAAAATTTCACTCAAGAAACGACGTTGCCATCCTAAAAATATACAAAAAGACAATTGCATTTATTTGCTTGGCTTGATGAGAGCAGAACGTTTCCCTTTGACATATTCAGAAGCGTTCCAATAAGTTTTGAGAGATGCATATTAACCCACTGATTATTACAAAAAAGCAGTAGTGCCACTGGATTAAAGGCTCAGTTAGACGGTAGGTAACGTAAAAAATTAATTCAAAGCGAAATGCACAAGCAACAAAACCTGCGTATTTGATAGAAACGAAATAAACAATGTTGGCCACTTTTGTTTATTTCGTTCCTATCAAATACACAGGTTTGGTTGATTGTGCATTTTGCTTTGAATTAATTTCTTACGTTGCTTACCATCTAACTGATTCTTAAATGTTGTGGAAGCCGTCGAAATAAAGTTTGCGAAGCCTATTTCATTTTCTACAGATAAATAAGTTGAGCTTATAAGTAAAGAGTAGGATTGAATATATAATTGCAAAACAAACTATGACAAATAAACAAATTGTTCGCGTTATTAGACAAAATGAAAACACCATTAACTTTCAATTTCCAGTGTACAAATAATGTCCATATATCATCATTAAGGCTTTTAAATGCTTATGTAAAATTATTTAAAAAAAAAATAAACTACTTTGGAATAATTTCCGTTGCAAAGTTTTGCTATAAGTCGTAGAAAGCAAGTAATTCTTGCATCAACATTGCAGTTTATCTTAAAATAACTAGAAAATTCATTACTCATTTATTAATTTTTGATTTTCTGGATTTTAGGGAAAGCGAATTTTTTTCATTTTTAGTCATAATAAATATTTTCAGACGCAGTCTCAAAGGTCTAAATTTCTAAATTTTTTTCAGGTATACCTATAATATTCAGTTGCTAAAACTAATAAATTTTTTTTTTTTAATTTACTTTACATTAAAGCAAGAAAATGACACGAAAAAGTGGAAGTAAATTAAAATTTACATAAAACTAATCCTTTTATTCCTCGGTGGAACATAGGGCCGTAACAAATAATTTTCATTGAACTCTATCTAATGCAAGATGTTTTGTTTCACTCTAGCTCTTTCCAGCGTTTCTTAATGTGGTTTCAGTTTGTCTCTTCTAAGTATTGCGCGGTCGCCACGGTCTTTACTGCCTTGCGGGTTGGTTTCCTCTGACAGTAGAGTGCTTTGGAACTAAGTTATGATTAGTATTATTTGCTGTAGTTAGCTTGTAAAGGTGTCATAACGATCGTACTCATAATCTGGTGGGAGCGACGAATTTTTGAGTGATTTGATGGGGTTTTGGTTATCCGGAATAATGCAATGTTATATTACTCTTAACCAACTTATACCATGTTCACACTGCAGCTAAATTAATGTAAATTCATCAAATTCAAATCTAGTCGTTTCCATTTATATATAAGTTGATTTATACATGTATCGGCACAACTTAGAATTTGCCTCATATAAAATGCAACTTAGCCTAACTCGCACACGTCCTTAGTAAATTCTTCGTCGTTAGCTAAAAAGTTAACGATTTTGTGGAATTGTAGTCGCCCAACTCGTAGCATTTGACGCAATCTATTGTCATCAATAGTCGTGAGGACATCATTGAACTATTCAATCAATTTTGAAACCTTTGTTGAAATTCCATGACGGCACCTAAGCACAGTGGAAATGTCTTCTTCTAAATCATCCAAAATGTCACTTCTTGCATCGTCACCATCACCATCACCATCACTTTCTGAAATTCATATGAATATAAATGTACTGCTATATTAAATATATAAATGCACGAATCTAAATTACCCATTAATTCTGCAACATTAAAATCCAGCGCAGTATTCAATATATGTATTCTGCTTTCCACTTTTTCTTGGCATTGTTAAATACGTAAATCAAAATCTGCTGTTCTAAATATTTTCAAGACTAGTATGCACAATGTGTGTTCACGTTTACTTGAGTTTTCGAGAAATGTGATTTCCAACGTTGCATTCGATGTTTTTTGTAACACCCTTTAATTTAATTTTAATTAAATTGGACAGTATGAAAGCTTTTTATACGAATAAACAACTTCATTAGCGGCCTAAATCATATAAACTGCTTTTATGAAGGGAATGAGTACATACTATTACCTACTTTATGGATGGCTTTAACAATGGTTTAGAAAATACAATGCTCCTGAAATTTATTTTTAAATCAGTTTTAAAATTGATTATAAGACAAATATATATTGCAAACAAATTTTAACAAGTAATTGTCAGACTGAGTGTTTTTATAAATATTTTCATATAATTCGAATAAATACAACACTGTAGCAAAATTTTATACAAATAATCAAAGCGTGATTTAGAGAAGGAGAGAAAGAAAGAAAATTCGAGAAACGTCAAATTCATCCGGAATATTCTAGAACATCGTATCAAAATTTTCTATAAATACAGCTGTCATTGGGCACAATCGGTTAATTGAAAAAGAAATTTGTTGTAGAGAAGTTAGGAGCGTATAAATTCCTACGTATTGAACGGTTTTGATTAAATAATATAAAAAGTGTACCTAACATTAAATAATAAAGTGTACATCTGTCGAATATTGTTTAAAGTGAAAATATTTGTTTATAGACTGATAAGTTACGACAAACAATAATATTTGAGATAAATTATTAGTGAAGTGTAAAAAGGTACGAAATGTTATAAATTGGAATTAAATTATTAATTCCATTATAATTAATAATTATAAGTTAATTAAAATTAAATTAAATAATGTGTAGAATATCAAAAAGATCAAGATATTATCATTTTAAGCGGTATTTAAATAATTTCTTGAAAATATTAAATGCAATAAAAAATTGTAAAGTGAATACGTGGTGTACATATATTTTCAAACAGGAAAAAATTCTCTTAAATGAATTAATATATTTATTGTCTTATATAAATATTTGAAAAAGAATTGAGTTTCACTGTGCATAAATAATTGAGGTTTTATTGAGTTTAAGGTCTTGAAAGTTTCTTTTCATATGACCAAATTACAAGATTTAAGATTTTTCTTGACTTATCTAAAGATTTTACGTCATCCAACAAAGCATAAGTGCAAGCGAATGCAAATGAATGAGTTTTGTTGGGTTTTGTATGTATAACAATTGGTTAGAGTGAGCTAGTTTCTTTGTTTTGACTTTAACGGAATTTAATTTTACTTAGGGCGGCAGGGCAGGGAGGATGAAATTTTTATACATATGCAATGTAAATAATTTCGTTTAGGATTTCACCTATAAGAACGATATAACGAATTTCTAGAAAATTCTTTTATTGTTATGTTTTGAAGGTTTTTCTCTTTCAACTTTATATGTAATTATGTTTTAACGGACATTTTTAAAATAGAATGCTTAGAATTCTGAAATTTTATTTAAACAATTTGAAAATAAGAATTATTTTCCAATCATAACAAGCACAATATAGAAAAACGTTTATGTCATAAACAAAAACAAAAATATATTGTTTAAAATATAAATATTCTACACATATTACTTGAATTAAAATATTATTTTGATTATTTACATATTTTAATAATTATATTCTATTTTTTAGATTATTTAAAAAGCCTCTAAAAATACAAAAGAAAAATGGGAAAAGACTATTACAAAATTTTGGGAATTAACAAAAATGCCACCGAGGAGGAAATCAAAAAAGCCTACCGGAAATTGGCACTAAAATATCATCCCGATAAAAATAAGTCACCTCAAGCAGAAGAACGTTTTATAGAAATAGCAGAAGCTTATGAGGTACTATCAGATAAAAGCAAACGAGATATATATGATCAGTATGGTGAAGAGGGCCTTAAAGGTGGCATACCTGGCGGTGGTAATGAATCAGGTGGCGGTACTAACACATATACATTCCACGGTGATCCGCGTAGCACATTTGCACAATTCTTTGGCTCATCTGATCCGTTTAGTTTCTTCTTTGACAATAGCGGAGGCGGTGGTATTCCACACGGTACATTCCAAACTCAGAGTATGTTTGATGATGGTGAATTTACACAAATGCCTGGCGGTCTAGGCGGGGCATTCCGTTCACAATCATTCAATGTACAACCAAATCGGAAGCGACAAGCTCAAGATCCGCCTATTGAGCATGATTTATATGTTACATTAGAAGAGATCGACAAGGGTTGTGTAAAAAAAATGAAAATATCGCGTATGTGTCATGGTGCGGATGGTAATTCTCGGAAAGAGACGAAAGTAATAAATATCAATGTGAAACCGGGGTGGAAGGCTGGTACCAAAATAACTTTTCAACAAGAAGGTGATCAAAAGCCTGGCAAAATACCCGCCGATATTATTTTTATTATTCGTGATAAGCCACATCACCTGTTCAAACGTGATGGAAATGATCTCAAATATAGTGCAGTAATCTCCCTAAAACAAGCATTGTGCGGCACATTAGTACAAGTTCCAACACTGCAAGGTGACCGTATCGGCTTGAATATGCAGAATGAAATTATCAAACCAAGCACTATTAAGCGAGTATCAGGGCGTGGCCTACCATATCCTAAGGAACAAAACCGTCGTGGTGATTTGCTGGTATCGTTTGATATCAAATTTCCTGACACATTGCATCATGACGCGAAAGAAGTGCTAAATGATTTGCTGCCAAACTAAATGGATGCGAGGTCTATTACATCGGGAGGTAAAACATTCTTATCAAATTTAAAACAATTATTGCAACGGCAGGAGAAAACAACAAACATTAATATATTTATTATATAAGAAATTATATTGCTTGCAAAACATGCCGAGTCCATATACATTTATGTTTTTTATTTCAATTTAACAACCAAAAGCAATATTAAATCCAACTAAATAACTGCAAAATTTTATAGTTTAATGTTGTTAATAAGTTTGTTTTAATGATTAATATCTCTTATATATATATTATAATCTTGATTCGTTTGTAAAGGATGTATCTTGTAATTAATTGTACATTTATTAGTACATTAGAAAAGACAACATTTTTACTTGGCTAAAATAATGCTATGTATAAAGCAATAAATATTATTTTGTAAATAATTATAATATAGTAAATAAGAGAACACAGAGAGTAGTCAGTCACCTTTGAAATTGTATGATATAGACCGGCTTGAATTAAGGTTTAAAGGTCCAAGATTGTATGTTGTAAACTAGTTTATTTCCTTATAGAACAGTATATATACTTTAAGAAATATGTCAAATGTATGTAAACAGTTATGAAAATAAGAAATTTAAGTTTTTATATAATATATGTATCATATACTAATATGTAGAAAATTAGGTTTAAAACGCTGCTGAAGAAAACAAATATGAAGACTGATTTTAGCAAAAATAAAAGTTATAGAAAATATGATCTTAAAATAATTTAAAATTTGATTTCGCAAGTTATTAATGTATATTATTGACTGAGCTGAGCTAAGTCTTTGGAAAAATAACAAAAATCTATTATTTTTATTTTTCTGTCAACTTTTTTGTAATCTTCAAAAACGTTTTAAATCTATCTACGAAAAATGTATGAAGTGAAAATATCATTTGAATTAAAAATGTATGATCGGAACGTACGTTTTAGTACAAGTAATTATAAGACCTTTGTTAAAATTCAGTTTCAAGAATAATTCTATTTTTATTGTAAACTAATTAACGTTGTTTAATTATAGGTTTTTTTTTATGTATCTTAAGTTGATTGAAATTAAAAATAAAATTTATATTAAATTTTAAGATTAAGGATTGAAAAAATGTATTTATATTATTGATTATAATGAGAATGTGTACATATACGTATATATGTATATATTTTCTCAATAAATTACTAAAAATATGAAATTTGTCTTTTGCAATTACTTAGAAATAAAAATACTTTTTATTACTAGAAATTTAGAAATTTCTAAAAGTTCAAAACGAAAGTTAATTAAAACGAAAGTGGCTATTACTACACAACTGTAGCTGTGGGTACAATCTAGACTCTCGACTCCTTCCAGAGTTTGAATCTGAGAGTGGAAATAGTATGAAAAGAAGTTTTTATAATACTGCAGTACGATTATCTTATGATTATGACTCAAAATCCATAAGGAAGACGCAACATACGAAAAAACAACAGTAATTAACGATACTTACGACAGTCAAATTATATACCAGGCACAGCGACTTAAGTCACAATACGCAATGCTATTGAAATGGATTTCCTCAACTACATTGCAGCTTAATTCTGCGTTTGGAAGCAGTCAATATAAATTGACTAAACTGACAATCGCCAGCGATTACTACTGCTAGTGAGTGCAGCTTAATCGTTGTGTATAATCTTACGTAGTATATTTAACAGATCACAAACCAGTGAAAACCAGTGAAAACCAGTGAAAACCAGTTTTAGCGATTTTATATATAGTATAAAATGCATTCTATTAATTTTTAGTGACTTTTAGTGATGAACATTGCACTAGGATGGGATTGTCATTTCAGCTATGAACACATATATGATTAGTGACGTAGTCAAGATTGTACCCAGATAAGGGGATGTACTATAAAATATTTTTTGCTGAACTTTTTTTATAGTTGATTTAAATTATTATAAGTTCACTTAATTAATTAAAATAATAGTTGAACGTTAAATGGAGTTCACTGAATTAAATGTAATAATTAAGATGTTGGTTTTAGGATGAAGCGGGGTATATCCCAAACAACATTTATCGCAGTTCTTTTACAGTTTGTTATGAACTTAAACCACGACTGGGTTGTTTGTTGGATTGACTCGAACTGAATTTAAAGAATCAAGCAAAAGCTAAACAAACCAAACCTATTATGCTGAGATTGGTATTCTTAAGATAAGTCTGGTGGTATTTGTGGTATCTAAGTTGATTCCTATAGGAGGAACCTTAAGCGAAACATTGTTCATAAAGAAAACAAAGAATACTGTGAGCAGCTTGACTACAGTGATCATAGCTGAATCAGCATAAACGGTAAGTTAGCTTCAATGCACTTGAAATAGTGTAAACACTAAGCGTTACTTAGTGTGTAAGACAAATTCCTAAACAAAAACTGTGATATCGCACTTTGTCTTTTATTTGCCTTGATACAAAGTAAGACAAAACTAAATTTGACAAATATGTGGAATAAATCCACATAAGAAGTTCACTAAATTAATTATAACTAATTAACATTATAATCCTTAGATTATAATCTTTATATTATAATGTTAAGAGGGGCAACAACCTTTTTGATCTTTCTTTGAATATGCTACTACCTGTGATTCCATTGTCAAGTAAGTACATAAATATATTCGTAATATATATTCATATATTCTATAATGAATTGTTAATCCCTTTCAATGTTTATATGATATAAACTTCTAATGAAATCATAATAAAATAAAACGCTTGTTTTCAATTTTTTCTTCAATTAAGATTTTTTATTTCGTTTTCATTTTCATTCTTTTTCATTATTTAATCATTTTCAAAATGTTCTTATTTTTCATTCTTTTTGTCTTATTATGCATTTTGTTAATATTTTTGAAATTTATTATTTACTTTTATGTGAGTTTGCATTTTTTTTTTGGTTTTGTTTTTGACATTTAGTTTCTGTGACTTTTTAATTAATTTTTAATTCGATTTTCATTTAAATTGTTTTTCAAGTTTTTACTTAAGATTATTTTTTTCATTTACTTTTTTGTTAATATTTAATGCGTTAATACTTTTTTCTTAGTTTACTTGCAATTCGTTTCAATCGATTGAGAACTAAATAAATTGATTAATCTTTACTAACATTTTTCTTTGTGACTGTTATTAATTATGCTTCATTATAAATCAATTCATTTAAATACATATAATTATTAATTGATTTCTGTTTTTTGTTTTTTGTTTCTTACTTTGTTTTTTTTAATAAATAACAAATATGTATAAATAAAATTTTTACAAAGGAATAAAAACTTGTATAATCATAAAATTTACATATATTTTGTAATATAAACAAAATAATTACATATAAGTTTTTAATTTGAATAAAATTTTTTTATATTTAAAGCTCACATAAAAAATATAACCGATTACCGGTTACTTTGACTAAAACTGATGTATTTTGCATGTCGTGTGAGAGTGTGAGTATTGTGTCAAGTGATCGTCATGTGATCGTGTGAATGTGTGATTTTGTGGTTTTGTATTTAAAAAGTAGGTAAACACTGTAGTTTTAAGGTTTAAAAAATAAGTTTTAATATAAAAAAGAATAGGACGTTAAAAAATTTTCTAATTAACTTATATATTTTTCATTCAGTGTTAAAATTTGACTAAAAAATGTTGTTAATTATGTTTAGTAGTATTTTAATTCTATTAATATATTATTTGGTTGTTTTATGTTTTATGTTTTGTTTTTTGTTAAATTTGCTACTGTTTTGTGTGATTTCGTGTTGATTTAATCACAATACCAATAAAAAGTATTGTTGTTAGTTTTTAATATTATTTTATCATAACATTTAATAGTCAAACATTTAGTTAAAATTTTTTTTATATTGTATATATAAAATCTTGACTTTGTTTTGGTTTACGTTAAACAAATTTTTGTAAAAACGATTCAATAAAAAATTCTGTTTTAATTCTAAAAAATTTTATTTAGTTTCATATTATTTCCATTTTGTTATTTCGTATTTAAATTTATTTATTATTTATATATAAATTAATTTCAAAATTAAAATACTTCAAAATTAAATAAAATAAATTTCTTTTTAAATTAAAATAAACATAACAGTATTTAAAAGAAAAAGAAAAGAATTTTAATTAATTTTTGGTTTTTAATTTTGATTGTAATATTCTTTATTATTAAATTAGTTTCTAATTTGAATTAGATTTTAAATTTTAGTATTAATTTAGGTGCATTAGTGCGCAAAATTTACTTTTCAATAAGAAAGTAAAGATCGAATATATATAAAATAAAAATTTACCAATATTCTACATACAAATGAAACGGTCATTTCACAACCAATTTTATGTTCTAATATTTTAAATATTTTTTTAAAAAGACAAAGTTCAAAAAAAAAAATAAATAATAAAAGCAAATAAATTTATAAATTTAATAATGTATATTATGTGAAAGTTAGTAATAAGTTAATTTGTGTTCGACTGCCTATTATTATGAGCAGTAGAGATAATATATTTTTAAACTTAATTTTATTAAATTAAAAACTTAAATTTTGTTTACTTTATTTTCGTGTTTATTAAATTTTTATTTTTATATTTTAATTATTATTTAATTAGTTTGAATATTTAACTTTCAACTTTTAGTCGTTGGTTGTATGGTTTAAAGTGCATTAAATATTTTGACTTTGATTATTATATTATGTATATGAATGACATATGTGTATGCCGTTTTATACATTTTAGCAATTTTCCTGGCTTGTTACATGTTTTTCGATTTTAATTATTTCTTCTTAATTGTTATAAACATTTAAAATTATTTTAACTTATTTTTCTCTTTTTTATTAATTTCGTAGCGTTTCGTGTGCTTAAATATTTTTTTTTTAAATTAGACTTTTTTAAACTAATTTTTTTATTTAAAATAAAAAAATTATCTTTCTTTAATGTGTTTAAATTAAAAACATTTTTAATTTTTTTCTTTTGTAATTTTACTAATTTCTCTAGTTATTTCATGTTAGTTTCAGTGATAAATATTTTTAGTTTTTATAATTCAACTTCTTCTTCTTCTTTTTCTCGTCTAAATTTTCCTTAATTCTAAAATTTTTTGCTATTTTAAATATAAATTTTATTTTTTAATTCAATAATTTGCAATTTCTTTGCTTTA